AAGAAACACGAGCAATGGAAATTAGACCGGTGGAAATCTGTTCTTTGGTCTGATGAGTCCAAATTTGAGATTTTTGGTTCCAATCGCCGTGTCTTTGTGAGACGTAGAGTAGGTGAATGGATGATCCCCGCATGTGTGGTTCCCACCATGAAGCATGGAGGAGGAGGTGTGATGGTGTGGGGGTGCTTTGCTGGTGACACTGTCTGTGATTTATTTAGAATTCAAGGCACACTTAACCAGCATGGCTACCACAGCATTCTGCAGCGATATGCCATCCCATCTGGTTTGCGCTTAGTGGGCCTATGATTTGTTTTTCTACAGGACAATGGCCCAAAACACACCTCCAGGCTGTGTAAGGGCTATTTGACCAAGAAGGAGAGTGATGGAGTGCTGCATCAGATGACCTGGCCTCCACAATCACCCGACCTCAACCCAATTGAGATGGTTTGGGATGAGTTGGACCGCAGAGTGAAGGAAAAGCAGCCAACAAGTGCTCAGCATATGTGGGAACTCCTTCAAGACTGTTGGAAAAGCATTCTTCATGAAGCTGGTTGAGAGAATGCCAAGAGTGTGCAAAGCTGTCATCAAGGCAAAGGGTGGCTACTTTGAAGACTCTAGAATATAAAACATATTTTGATTTGTTTAACACTTTTTTGGTTACTACATGATTCCATATGTGTTATTTCATAGTTTTGATGTCTTCACTATTATTCTACAATGTAGAAAATTGTAAAAATAAAGAAAAACCCTTGAATGAGTAGGTGTGTCAAACTTTTGACTGGTACTGTATCTCCTGAGCGACACACACATACACACACACACACAAACATACCCACACACACGCACACATACACATACACAGAACATTAGTGTTGATTAACAGAAACCAAATGAGCAGGTTTGTGATTTTTCCATGCTTCAATGCAAATAGTAAACCAAACTTTGTCCTGTCTGTCATGTTTCATAGGTAGATTGAGATATAGCATTTGCCTGTTGGAGACATATTAAAGTAAACTCTACCTGTCGTTAAGGCTACCATCTACGTGTGCATTCTAAATCAGCTACCTTAGCCAGACAGAGATGTTTGAGTGTGAGGTTCAAACTACATACTGTAGCTTAAATCCAACATTGTTTTTTTGATAGTTGCAATATCTATGTTTATAATCTCCCTTTGTCTTTATTGACCTATTAATGGATATAGCTACTGTTCACATTTCACCCATCATTATACAGAATATTGTTCAGAACATCGTTCCTCAAACTATGTCCTGGGGACCCCAAGTGGTGCACATTTTGTTTTTTGGCCTAGCACTACACAGCTGATTCATACAATCAATTCATCATCAAGCTTTGATTATTTGAATCAGCTGTGTGTTGTGCTAGGGCAAAAACCAAAACATGCACACTTTGGGGTCCCCAGGACAGAGTGAAATGCTGGTTCAGAGCATGTCAGCGTTTGCTATGGGAGTGATCTGCTGTGAAAGGTCTCCCCCTGCTGGAGAGTGCAGAGATGACAGTTGATGGCTACGGCACATTGCTACAGAAATAGGGGTCATGTGGAGACAAAAATACTCTCAGAACATTACATTCAACTAAACAAAAATCTCTTTAATCCGTTTTCAGGTAGAAACCATTTTTCATACAAACATATTGCGGGAATAATCAGTACAGGGTTCTTACAATTGCTATTGCCAGCCTGTCAGTAAAATCCATAAAGTGAGGTTAGTTGGTGTGACTGTTCCAAGTCTCCTACCACTGTAGAAAAACCCACGACAAAGACTTCAACCACAGGAAAGGAGCTCTCCAAAGTTTTAGTCCAAGCCTTAGAACAAATGGGGGAAAATAATGGATGAACTTTGCTGAAATGCCTTCTGACATCATTAAAGGTCCTGAACAGTCATTCTGATTCCCATGTAATAATAGCCTTTGGAGTGACAAAAATATCACCCACTATATTATTTTGGGATAGAAATGCTAACATTTTTGGAAAATTATACTTTTTACCAGGAAGTTTGAAAAGACAGGCTGAGTGGGCAGGGAGCTTATATTAATGAGATCGCCTTGACTGAGAGCTCTTTGAAATGCCTATGTCAAGAAACTTGGATGCAATGAGCAGTATTGCAGTAAAATCACCTCAAGCAAATTTGGTGATACACAAAGCAACTCAACCAACATTAAAATTGCATCAATGATATATATATTTTTGATATATATATATACATATATATATATATATATATATATATATATACAGTGGGGAAAAAAAGTATTTAGTCAGCCACCAATTGTGCAAGTTCTCCCACTTAAAAAGATGAGAGAGGCCTGTCATTTTCATCATAGATACACGTCAACTATGACAGACAAATTGAGATTTTTTTTCTCCAGAAAATCACATTGTAGGATTTTTAATGAATTTATTTGCAAATTATGGTGGAAAATAAGTATTTGGTCACCTACAAACAAGCAAGAGATCTGGCTCTCACAGACCTGTAACTTCTTCTTTAAGAGGCTCCTCTGTCCTCCACTCGTTACCTGTATTAATGGCACCTGTTTGAACTTGTTATAAGTATAAAAGACACCTGTCCACAACCTCAAACAGTCACACTCCAAACCCCACTATGGCCAAGACCAAAGAGCTGTCAAAGGACACCAGAAACAAAATTGTAGACCTGCACCAGGCTGGGAAGACTGAATCTGCAATAGGTAAGCAGCTTGGTTTGAAGAAATCAACTGTGGGAGCAATTATTAGGAAATGGAAGACATACAAGACCACTTATAATCTCCCTCGATTTGGGGCTCCACGCAAGATCTCACCCCGTGGGGTCAAAATGATCACAAGAACGGTGAGCAAAAATCCCAGAATCACACGGGGGGACCTAGTGAATGACCTGCAGAGAGCTGGGACCAAAGTAACAAAGCCTACCATCAGTAACACACTACGCCGCCAGGGACTCAAATCCTGCAGTGCAAGACGTGTCCCCCTGCTTAAGCCAGTACATGTCCAGGCCCGTCTGAAGTTTGGTAGAGTGCATTTGGATGATCCAGAAGAGGATTGGGAGAATGTCATATGGTCAGATGAAACCAAAATATAACTTTTTGGTAAAAACTCAACTCGTCGTGTTTGGAGGACAAAGAATGCTGAGTTGCATCCAAAGAACACCATACCTACTGTGAAGCATGGGGGTGGAAACAACATGCTTTGGGGCTGTTTTTCTGCAAAGGGACCAGGATGACTGATCCGTGTAAAGGAAAGAATGAATGGGGCCATGTATCGTGAGATTTTGAGTGAAAACCTCCTTCCATCAGCAAGGGCATTGAAGATGAAACGTGGCTGGGTCTTTCAGCATGACAATGATCCCAAACACACCGCCCGGGCAACGAAGGAGTGGCTTCGTAAGAAGCATTTCAAGGTCCTGGAGTGGCCTAGCCAGTCTCCAGATCTCAACCCCATAGAAAATCTTTGGAGGGAGTTGAAAGTCCGTGTTGCCCAGCGACAGCCCCAAAACATCACTGCTCTAGAGGAGATCTGCATGGAGGAATGGGCCAAAATACCAGCAACAGTGTGTGAAAACCTTGTGAAGACTTACAGAAAACGTTTGACCTGTGTCATTGCCAACAAAGGGTATATAACAAAGTATTGAGAAACTTTTGTTATTGACCAAATACTTATTTTCCACCATAATTTGCAAATAAATTCATTAAAAATCCTACAATGTGATTTTCTGGAAAAAAAATCTAATTTTGTCTGTCATAGTTGACGTGTACCTATGATGAAAATTACAGGCCCCTCTCATCTTTTTAAGTGGGAGAACTTGCAAAATTGGTGGCTGACTAAATACTTTTTCCCCCCACTGTACATCTCCTGTTTGAAATGTCTCTGGTGCTGTGGTTCACAGCAGCACTGACTGATGTGTTGACGTCAAAGTTTTGAACGACCCTTCCTCCCCTTTAGTTCCACACTTGCTGAAGACCTAGCTAGCCAGTGACTAGCTAACACCAGTAGAGTAGCTATCTAGCTATATAAACCACACCCCTCTGCAAACACGCCTTCTCCGATGTTGGTTACAAGATGGTACTTATTTAAATTAGGTAAAAGAATATCATGTTACCATTGGTGTATTAAAATGAGAGCGTTAGGGTGTCAACCTATCCCCTTCATAATCCCGCCTCCCAATTCCAATTGTTTGATACGGGGGAGGGGAACAGTAACTTTATGATCAAACTTAATCAATGTAGAAGAAACAGTAATTTTTCATACTTTGGTCATCATACCTTGATCTGGTTTCATCCAAATAACATCACATTTCATGAAAAACATGGTTTTGACTGTTCATGTTCTTTAAGAATAATATATTATACACCCATACATGGTATTGGGGATGATTTCTGTATCCACTTTCCTTAGCTAAGTCCATTCTCTTGTTTGGTCGGTGGCGACTTTGGCGACCACCGCCAAACAACATCTCAAAGTCTTCAGTCAGTGACATCAACAAGTGGACTTCAACTAAATGTGTCCTGATAGGCCCGGTCTGAGGGTGACTTTGACTAATAGGAAGTAAGCTCTTGTGAAAATGGAGGACACCACAAAATGACCAAATGTCTTGACAGGAGACACAGAGAGAATGGTAGAGATACAAAAACCTCCTCTGGAGTGTAGAGATACACTAGAAACAGTAGAAAGGTGAGGAGTCAGAAAGTGCTGGAAAAGACCCTCTGGTCTGTCTGTCTGTCCGTATAATACAGTATGTACAGTAACACGTGTCCCATCTATCCATCCTTGCAGTAGTAGAAGCATCTCGCTCACAGGGGTCTGAGGGATGGTCTCAAATCACAAGTCACACCTTATTCCCTATGTAGTGCACTACTTTTGACCAAAGCTTGTATAAGGTTAGCTGCATAGGGCTCTGCTCAAAAGTAGTGCACTTATTAGGGAAGAATGTGTTATTTGATCTTTCCTCCTTGACCTCCAGAGAGGGAGAGAGAGAGGGGAGAGTAACAGTTCAATGGGGCTGCATTTGCCATGGAACTCGCTGAGGGGTGGAGTTGTGGATAGGATACTGCGGGGTAGGGTATGGGGGCATATAGTGTGGCTGGGAGGGAGCACCTCCAGCGCTGCAGGTAGAGTTGGAGGGCATGTTGTGGAGGTAGACAGGGGCTGTAGGGGCCGTAGGGGCGGTGGGGGTGGGGACTCTCTGGAGCACCACGTGGGGGTAGATCATCTGACTCTCCGCCCGGAACAGACCAGGGAGAGGGGCCTTCGGTAGGCTCTCCTGACTCCTAGAGCGAGAGAGAGAGAGAGACCTTAGAATCAGTGGAAACAACATTTCTCTAGAAACCAATATATTAGATGTCTATAAAAGGTGCATATAGTAGCAGGATTCTATTGATATTTACAACACGTTTAGGTTCATACAGTAGATCTCAGGTTCTCACCTCTGGTATCCACGGTTGTCGAAGCCAGCCATGCCCCCCAGGTAAACAGGGCTCTCTGCAGCCAGCCGGAGGTCCGGCTGCTGGGACAGGTGGAAGATCTTAGGAGGGGGGAACGTGTCACAGTCCCCCTCCTCTCTCTCCAGCCAGCACTCACTATGCCGAGAAGGCCGCGTGTCTCTACGCCTGGAGAGAGGTGGTTATTATCATCTCCATCAATATCACCTCTGTCTCCTCTTTCCGGTATAGTTTCGAAATGTGTGTGTGTGTGTGTGTGTGTGTGTGTGTGTGTGTGTGTGTGTGAGACGTTGATGTGTTTTCTTATATACCAAATATGCCAGATATTGTTGTTGTGGGGGGAGGCCAGAGGGAGGTGCTCATTTTGGAAGTGGGTTGCTCTTTTGACTCCTACATCGAGCAGGCCTTTGTTGACAAGTTGCTGGAATACCAGCCCTTCATGTCATCCCTGAACAGCCTTGCTTATCAGTGCAAACTTGTAGTGCTGATATTTGAGAGTCTCGGCCAGGCTGACAGTACGTGCCTTCAGAATGCAGGCCTGCATCGCATAAAGGCAAAGCATCTAGCGAGGTACTGCTCTGTGTCAGCGGTCATGGGCAGCCTTGCTGTATGGATAAGAAGGTGCTTTCTGTACCCATAAGTGTCCATTAATTATATCCATGACCTACAGTGAGGGAAAAAAGTATTTGATCCCCTGCTGATTTTGTACGTTTGCCCAGTGACAAAGACATGATCAGTCTATAATTTTAATGGTAGGTTTATTTGAACAGTGAGAGACAGAATAACAACAAAAAAATCCAGAAAAACGCATGTCAAAAATGTTATAAATTGATTTGCATTTTAATGAGGGAAATAACTATTTGACCCCTCTGCAAAACATGACTTAGTACTTGGTGGCAAAACCCTTGTTGGCAATCACAGAGGTCAGACGTTTCTTGTAGTTGGCCACCAGGTTTGCACACATCTCAGGAGGGATTTTGTCCCACTCCTCTTTGCAGATCTTCTCCAAGTAATTAAGGTTTCGAGGCTGACGTTTGGCAACTCGAACCTTCAGCTCCCTCCACAGATTTTCTATGGGATTAAGGTCTGGAGACTGGCTCGGCCACTCCAGGACCTTAATGTGCTTCTTCTTGAGCCACTCCTTTGTTGCCTTGGCCGTGTGTTTTGGGTCATTGTCATGCTGGAATACCCATCCACGACCCATTTTCAATGCCCTGGCTGAGGGAAGGAGGTTCTCACCCAAGATTTGACGGTACATGGCCCCGTCCATCGTCCCTTTGATGCGGTGAAGTTGTCCTGTCCCCTTAGCAGAAAAACACCCCCAAAGCATAATGTTTCCACCTCCATGTTTGACGGTGGGGATGGTGTTCTTGGGGTCATAGGCAGCATTCCTCCTTCCTCCAAACATGGCGAGTTGAGTTGATGCCAAAGAGCTCGATTTTGGTCTCATCTGACCACAACACTTTCACCCAGTTCTCCTCTGAATCATTCAGATGTTCATTGGCAAACTTCAGACGGGCCTGTATATGTGCTTTCTTGAGCAGGGGGACCTTGCGGGCGCTGCAGGATTTCAGTCCTTCACGGCGTAATGTGTTACCAATTGTTTTCTTGGTGACTAGGGTCCCAGCTGCCTTGAGATCATTGACAAGATCCTCCCGTGTAGTTCTGGGCTGATTCCTCACCATTTACATGATCATTGCAACTCCACGAGGTGAGATCTTGCATGGAGCCCCAGGCCGAGGGAGATTGACAGTTCTTTTGTGTTTCTTCCATTTGCGAATAATCACACCAACTGTTGTCACCTTCTCACCAAGCTGCTTGGCGATGGTCTTGTAGCCCATTCCAGCCTTGTGTAGGTCTACAATCTTGTCCCTGACATTCTTGGAGAGCTCTTTGGTCTTGGCCATGGTGGAGAGTTTGGAGTCTGATTGATTGATTGCTTCTGTGGACAGGTGTCTTTTATACAGGTAACAAACTGAGATTGGGAGCACTCCCTTTAAGAGTGTGTTCCTAATCTCAGCTCATTACCTGTATAAAAGACACCTGGGAGCCAGAAATCTTTCTGATTGAGAGGGGGTCAAATACTTATTTCCCTCATTAAAATGCAAATCAATTTATAACATTTTTGACATGCGTTTTTCTGGATTTTTTGTTGTTATTCTGTCTCTCACTGTTCAAATAAACCTACCATTAAAATTATAGACTGATCATTTCTTTGTCAGTGGGCAAACGTACAAAATCAGCAGGGGATCAAATACTTTTTTCCCTCACTGTATGAAATGTTTGAATCCTTCTCGACTGTAATGTGATATGTGATTTGTGTTTGTGTGTGTGTGTGTGTGTGCTTGCTTGTGTCTGTGAATGCGTGTGGGTGTGTGTTTGTGTGTACCTGCTCCTGACATCCCTCCTGGTGCCCCTGTCCTTCCCAGTGCGTTCCTGCAGGCAGCAGATGATGAAGGAGAGAGACATGGCCAGGATGACGATGCCACTGACCACAGAGGCCAACACGGCCACACGCAGACCCCGGTCCTCTGGCCTAGGGATGGCTGAGGGGAGGACAGATCAAGGGCAAGTCAATTCAGTTCAGTACTGAGTCTGTGCCAAATTACTTTCACCTATCATGTCGCTTCAGATATACTTTTTACGATCTGTGATCACTGCAGGGGTGGGAGCTAGGAATAGGGAGCTAGGAAAGGAGGGTAGGAGAAATGTGTAACAGATAGGAGAAGGGAGCTAGGGAAGGAGGGTAGGAGCTAGGAGAAATGGGCACAAAATAGGAGAAGAGGCTGGGAGCTAAAGGGCTAGCTAGGGATTGGACCAGCTGTGTTGTCTCACCCTCACAGACTGGCAGGAAGTTGCTCCACTGGGGTTTGCCTGCCCGGACGCTGCAGGAGATCTTATCACTGCCCACCAGCTGGTAGCCCTCCCTGCACCAGAAGGCCAGCACTGTACCCACCGACACCCCCGTCCCATGCTCCACATAGAACGACCCGCGCCTCGGGGGCAGCACGGACACACACACCAGACCTGGGGAGAGAGGGAGATAGAGAGTGAATATGAGAATTACAAAAGCAGAACAAGGGAAAGTGTTTATAATATTTGGATTCTAATTTATTACTGATTCATATCTAGCATAAGGTGTAAACTCTCAAGAGGTGTTAAATATAATGCTTAATCTAAATTTAACACAGTTTAATTAGCTGTTTATAGAAAGAGGGCAGAGAGAGAAAGAGATTGAGGAAAATAGATGTTTAAAGGAGGCAATTCTCTGTAAATACACAATAGAACCCACAGAGTGTTCTTCAATGGAAGCTCCTCTAACATCAGATATGTATAGTGCGGTGTCCCTCAGGGCAGTTGCCTTGGGCCATTACTCTTCTCTATTTTTACAAGTGATTTTCCACTGGTCTTATATGAAGCTAGAATTACTATGTATGCGGATGATTCCACACTCTACATGTCAGCACCCAAAGCCAGTGATCTCACTGGAATTCGAAATAAGGAGTTACAGTCAGTATCAGAATGGGTGACCGCTGGTCTGACCAATCGGAATCCACACTTGAAGATTGTTTTGATCCCACGGACTGCGATATGTTCCAGGTAGCCTCTGAGAATAATATAGACGTATACGCTGATTCAGTGAGTGGGTTTATAAGGAAGTGTATAGGAGATGTCGTACCCACTGTGACTATTAAAACTTACCCTAACCAGAAACCGTGGATAGATGGCAGCATTCGCGAAAAACTGAAAGCACAACCACCGCATTTAACCATGGCAAGGTGACGGGGAATATGGCAGAATACAAACAGAATGGTCGTTCCCTCCGCAAGGCAATCAAACAGGCAAAACGTCAATATTGAGACAATGCGGAGTCGCAATTCAATGGCTCAGACTCGAGACGTATGTGGCAGGGTTTACAGACAATCACGGACTACAATAGGAAAACCAGCCACGTCGTGGACACCGACGGCTTGCTGCCAGACAAGCTAAACAAGTTATTTTCCCGCTTTGAGGATAACACAGTGCCACTGACGCGGCCAGCTACCAAGAACTGTGGGCTTTCCTTCTCTGTGGCCGACGTGAGTAAGACATTTAAACGTTTTAACCCTCGCAAGGCTGCCGGCCCAGACGGCATTCCTAGCCGCGTCCTCAGAGCATGCGCAGACATATTCAATCTCTCTCTATCCCAGTCTGCTGTCCCCACATGCTTCAAGATGGCCACCATTGTTCCTGTACCCAAGAAAGCAAAGGTAACTGAACTAAATGACTATCGCCCGGTAGCACTCACTTCTGTCATCATTACGTGCTTTGAGAGACTAGTCAAGGATCATATCACCTCCACCTTACCTGTCACCCTAGACCCACTTCAATTTGCTTACCGCCCCAATAGATCCACAGACGATGCAATCGCCATCACACTGCATACTGCCCTATCCCATCTGGACAAGAGGAATACCTATGTAAGAATGCTGTTCATTGACTATAGCTCAGCATTTAACACCATATTACCCTCCAAGCTCATCATTAAGCTTGAGGCCCTGGGTCTCAACCCCGCCCTGTGAAATTGGGTCCTGGACTTCCTGACGGGCCGCCCCCAGTTGGTGTAGGTAGGAAACAACATATCCACTTCACTGATCCTCAACACTGGGGCCCCACATGGGTGTGTGCTCAGCAACCTTGTGTACTCCCTGTTCACCCATGACGCCGTAGCCATGCACGCCTCCAACTCAATGATCAAGTTTGCAGACGACACAACAGTAGTAGGCTTGATTACCAACAACGATGAGACAGCCTACAGGGAGGAGGTGAGGGCTCTCGGAGTGTGGTGTCAGGAAAATAACCTCTCACTCAACGTAAACAAAACAAAGGAGATGATCGTGGACTTCAGGAAACAGCAGAGGGAATACCCCCCTATCCACATCGACGGGACAGCAGTGGAGAAGGTGGAAAGTTTTAAGTTCCTCGGTGTACATATCACTGACAAACTGAAATGGTCCACCCATACAGACAGTGTGGTGAAGAAAGCGCAACAATCTCAGGAGGCTGAAGAAATTTGGTCTGTCACCTAAAACTCTCACAAACCTTTACAGATGCACAATTGATAGCATCCTTTCGGGCTGTATCACCGCCTGCTACGGAAACTACACCGCCACAACCGCAGGGCTCTCCAGAGGGTGGTGCGGTCTGCATAACGCATCACCGGGGGCAAACTACCTGCCCTCCAAGACACCTACAGCGCCCGATGTCACAGGAAGGCCAAAAAGATAATCAAGGACAACTACCACCCGAGCCACTGCCTGTTCACCCCGCTATCATCCAGAAGGCGAGGTCAGTACAGGTGCATCAAAGCTGGGACCGAGAGACTGAAAAACAGCTTCTATCTCAAGGCCATCAGACTGTTAAACAGCCATCACTAGCACAGAGGTGCTGCTGCCCACATACAGACTTGAAAATCACTGGCCACTTTAATAAATGGAACACTAGTCACTTTAATAATGCCACTTTAATAATATTTACATATCTTGCATTACTCGTCTCATATATATATATATATATATATATATATATATATATATATATATATATATATATATATATACTGTATTCTATACTATCTATTGCATCTTAGCCTATCCTGCACTGACAATGACATTGCTCATCCATATATTTATATATTCTTATTCCATTCCTTTACTTAGATTTGTGTGTATTAGATATTTGTTGTGGAACTGTTAGATATTACTTGCTAGATATTACTGAACTGTCAGAACTAGTAGCACAAGCATTTCGCTACACTCGCAATAACATCTGCTAACCATGTGTATGTGACCAATACATTTGATTTGATTTGATTAATAATAAACTGGTTTTAAATATATCTAAAAGCATTGTATTTGGTTCAAAACATACTCTAAGACCTAAACCTCAACAGGAGTTGTTCATAAAGGGTGTGACCATTGAGCAAGTTGAGGAAGCTAAACTCCTAGGTGTAACATTGTATGGTCAATTACAGTATTATGGTCAAACATATTGACAAAGTCGTCTTGAAGATGGTGAGAGGTATATCTGTTGTAAAAAGATGTTCTCCGTTTTTGACAAAAAAATCAACTGTACTAGTTGTTCAGGCTCTGTCCGGTAATGTGGTCAAGTGCAGCAAAGAAAGACCTAGCAAAGCTGCAGCTGGCTCAAAACACCAGCAAAAAACAACAGCTCATGGCACAATAGGGACTGTGAAATGACACGTACACACAGACACACTATCACTCTCTAACACACACAATCTACACACACATTGTTCTTTAGTTGAATCGTTTGTATAACGTTGTATTTTAAATTTGTGGGACTGTTCTTGTCTATCAGTAACCAGGTTTCCATCCAACATTTTTATGCAAGTAAAGTACGTCGGATAAAAAATGTCAGGCCTGATGGAAACAGCAAAATTGTCCGTAAACTTTCCAAATGTCGACAAAACTAAATACGCAAGACAAGGTGGTGTAGTGTATTAAGATTATGACTTTGCTAATGTTTTTAAGTGGAACCTGAGAGGATGTTTATTTAGTGTCAGAGGGAATTGTTTTAGTGTGACACCCCGGATGGGACAGAGAAGTCTGTGTGTTGTAGACAGGGGATTGGACAGTAGAGGGAGCCACCCATATTTTGGGGAAGATTATATATACTGAGTTTAAACGAAGAAGAGGTTAGAGCAGACATTGCAATTTGGGAACCACTGCTCTCCGGGTGATCTGGACACCTGTAAACTTATGCTGAAATCTTGTGATATGAATAAAACTTGTGATCAAAGTTCAGTATAAGCGGACTCCTTTGTTACAGCATTATTAGCAACAATTTAACTCGACACTACAATTTAACATATTTTTGTGTGTGTAAAATTAATTATGCGAGAAATGGCGGTGGAAAGGCCTTTATGCGCAAATATTGATAATATAACCATAATATCGAAGGGAACTTGGGAGTCATGCTATGATATGTTGTGTGGTCCTCCCACTACGACTCGGGAAAGCATGCTGTTTATTAGGCTACAGATAAAATAAGTTATGATGAACTTCACAGGGTGGTGAAAGTGCAAGGTGATGAGCTTGATGTTCCTTTCCAATAAATATTGAGGGTCTTATTCTGGTGACAAGATGATCGATGTTTGGCTGCCGTTTGACAAATACAAATAATCTCGCTCTTCTGTCCATAATAATCTCATCATGTAGTAGGCTGTATCTGCGAGCTCTATCTGCGTGCTGTTGACTAAAGCGCATGTGCCAAGACCAGAGTGGGCACATTCGCTATATAACGCACATTTTTGAAAATGCGATGGAAACCCATTGAAATAATATTCTTTATTCGGTACATGGGAATTTTACGGCAAAAGTTATTTTTATGTTCCCTACGTCATCACGCACAACCTTTAATCCACAACAAGTCCATTTGATGGAAACCCATCTCTTGCGGGAAAATGCGCATGTTGTTTTTATGCGGATTTTAGAATATTTGCAAGAAAATCTGTCACCAATTAGATGAAAACCTAGCTAGTGTATCAGTGTTTTGCTACTTGTCATGTTTTATGTTTTTTTGTGGACCCCAGGAAGAATAGTTGCTGTTTCGGCAAAAGCTAATGGAGATCCGAATGAACAATAAACAATCGATCCAGCAGAGAGCAGTACTGATGCTGAGTTGTAATGTAATGTTATTTCTGTGTTGTGATGTTATTCCTGTCTTGTGATGTTATTAGTGCTCTAAGACCCTGGAAGCACGCAGGCTGCTGTCTGCTGATTAGATATGACAGAGGGGAGGAATTTTGTTCTGCAGCAGTGCAGAGAGAGAGGGGGGGGGCTAAAAGATAGAGAGCAAGAGAGAGAGAGAGAAAGACAGAGAGAGAGAGAGAGAGAGAGAGAGAGAGAGAGAGAGACAGAGACAGAGACAGAGACAGAGACAGAGACAGAGACAGAGAGAGAGAGCTAGCTAGCCACGAGGGGATGAAGGATGTTGATACTACTGCACTAGGGCTTTACTCTCTTGCTCTCTTTTCTCAAACACACACACACACACACACACACACACACACACACACACACACACACACACACACACACACACACACTGCACAGAAGCCAAGACAAACAAACATATGAATAACAATATGACAGACATGCATGCAGAGGGTCCACAGCAGTTAATTTTCCCTACTGAGTCCAATGTAGGACTAAATCTGCATCATCATGCAGCATCTGCTTGCATATATTCATGCCCTGATACACACAAACACACAGACACAGAAACATACACACACACAAAATCATGCACACGCATATTCACTAGCCGAGCTTAGACCTGAGTCATCATAGAGGAGTTTAATCAAGAATGCAGCCCCTAAGACATATGCCTCCCCTCCTCTCGCAACACACACACACACACACACACACACACACACACACACACACACACACACACACACGTGACAGACCAGTATTGAACCCGGGTTGTCTGCACAACTAAAGACTGTGTTAGCCAACTGAGCTGAAGTCTATATCAGTATGCCTACAGCTCAATGTGTTATTGGGATGTTCCCTGCGCAGCGCAGAAAATGCCCCTTCCACTTTAATATCTTGTGGAGTGGACTTTGGACTGCCATTAGAGTATTTCTATTGTTGTGTTAGACTGCTGGGTTTGGCTACTGGGTCAATGTTGGGTCTGTCTCATTCTGATCAGCTTATCTCCAGTGGGCCGCCATTCACAGGGCTTAGCTGGTATGGCAATACTGTGGGCTGCCAGCAACCAACCTGGCAACCTGACTCTCACAACATAACAACTGCCTCATTCTTCTCTCTTCTTGGTGTTCCCTCTATCCCTCTCTCCCTCTCTCTTTCTCCCCCTCAGGGTCCTGACAGATAGGCGCTCAGAATAGGGCCTGATTAAATAAAGATTAGGCCCACCATTAAAGATTCATCCACACACAAAAACACTCACACTCACACACACACACTCTCTCTCTCTCTCTCTCTCTCTCTCTCCTCTCTCTCCTGTTCATCGTCTCATCTCTCTCTCCTCTCTCTCTCTCTCACTCTCTCTCCTCTCTCTCTCGTCTCTCTCCTCTCTCTCCTGCTCTCTCTCTCCTTCCACACCCCACACCCACACACACACACACACACACCACACACACACACACATATACACACACACACTCTTCGCTCGGAGCTGCTTCACTACTGACCATATACTCCCTGAGTTGCCCTGCAGCAAGGCAGATAAGGCTGCTGGACCACCTGGCATATTACATACTCCAGAGGCCACAACCTCTCTAATATAGGTATTATCACTTCATCCTCCACACCTAATTTTTCTCTATCATTGCATCATCCCTCCATCTGAATTAGGGTTGCAAAATTCCGCTAACTTTCCCAAAATTCCCAAGTTTCCCAGAAATCCTGGTTGGAAGATTTCCTAAACAGAGGGGAATAAGCAGGTAATGCGGAATCCTTCAAACAGGATTTCTGGATTTTTGGGAAAGTTACCAGGATTTCCCACATACAAAAATACTACAGTATACTATGGTATAAATACTATAGTATTTATTGTAGTGTTTCTTGCAGACTGTAGTATACAGCAGTGTTTTTGCAGATATTACTGTAGTATTTTTTCATGCTGCTTCTACAAAAGCTAATGGGGATCCGAATGTACCAGTAAACAAACAAACAAGCGATCCAGCAGAGAGCAGTATTGATGCTGAGTTGTAATGTTATGTTATTTCTGTGTTGTGATGTTTGTTAAAAAGCAGTTTGGGGAAAATTTTAAAATTTGGGGGGATTTTTTTTGGGTTTTAAAGGGAATTTTTTATTTTTAAAAA